AAAATACTTTTTCTAGCTTTACCACCACTATATGACTTGAAGGAAGAATTGATTAAGAAAAATCCTTTGGCCTATTTTTCATATCCAGCTTAAGAAAATAGGTAGAAGAATAATATTTTATTCCTTAGAAGTCTGCATCTCTTAGTGATGAGACCTCTGGAGGAGCATTTAAATATTTTCAGACTGCGAGGTAGACATCAGGTAAGAACAGGAAGTTCTTACTTCCTTATTCGCATCACACTTTGAGGGTAAAAGTGATTTAGATTCTTTAATCCATTCTCCAAGTGCCATTGGGGTTCTTAAAAATCACTGTTCTGTTGCAATACCTTCACAAAGGCTCCTGAATTTCTACTGGTAGCAAGACTGGAAACTGCTTAAACATGACCATGTGAAGCAGCTTGGTGATTGATCCACACCTAGACCTGACAGCCTTCAAAAATTAAGACACCTATCCATCACCTCAACAGAGTTCATCAGACAGCTGTCTGTTAGAGCACAGCCAACCCCACACAGAACACAGCAAGCTGAAGGTTCCATGTTGCTGCCACTCAGCCTAGTAGATCTAGCCAGTGCTGTAATACTCAGGACACACTGTCAATTCCCCTGCCTGATATGGAGCAATGACTGAACTTAGGTCTCCCTCCTCCCAGGCAATATAAGATCCTCAGAGGCAAGTCTTCCTCAGTATTGCCCATTGAGGTTGTTCTACTTCATCTAAACTGCTTAAACATCCTTTGGGACAAAGAAAGAGGGAGGATGTCTATAGGCTGGTGGCCAGAACAAGCCCTAAGAACCCAGTTATGCATTACTGCACACAAAGTCTTCCCTATATCATTCTGACCATGTCCACACAACAGGCATTTACTGGGGCCACAAGGCATATGTAATATGGGCAAAGTAATATGGGCAGCAGAAAAAAAACTATCTCCCCCTAGCAAACACTTGATGAAATCATGAATAGTGAGGCCAGATCTTTAGAAAATACATTTGGCATCATGAGGGAAACAGAAAGAGCAGCAACAACTGCAAGATGTACTCTGCATAAGAAGAGCAAGGCTATCAGCCTGGCCACCCCAACCAAAGGTAGTAGTACCCCAGAGATGCATTGAATCTTAAGGCAGGTGGAAAGTATAGGGAACACTTTCCTTTACAAGCCATAAAATTTAGAAGCAGGATTGAAACTTGGCTTGGAAACTTCCCGACTTAATCAGTCATAGATGAACTGCGGGAAGGGAAGGGAAGGGAAGGGAAGGGAAGGGAAGGTGTGCAGTAAACAGGGCAGCAACAATAATTTGTTCTTCATTTGCTACCTTCTCTTTCTATGGAAGCAGCTTAAAAAGAAGTGCAAAGGACCAAAGAATGCACTTCTGGGACTATGAGGTAGTTTTTTTAACCTACTGTTCACATAAACTAAGGCTGTGATTGCAAAAACTAAAAGATTCTTTTAAAGAATTGTGTGTTCTTTGTCCTGTGCCTAGTCAGCTCTTGTAGGAACGTAACTATTGCCCAGTAAGGGCAGTGAGCAAGTGTATTTTAACTAGTTTACTTAGAGGAGTCTCAGATTTATATGTTTGCTAACTTACAGAGTAATCTTTTGGGTTTTGAACCAGATCCTTGTTGTTTCTGATAACAAATGCCAGAAAGACTATAAACTTTTTATTTCCACTGGAATATGTTCAGCATTTGGGGAATGTTTCCATCTTTGGCAATATCTCAATGCTGTTATGACATTAGCCTCTATTATCATGGCTACTTTCCCTTGGTTCTTTCTAGCCTGCAGGGACAGGGGCCTGGAATTGGCAGTGTCTGACAGAACCTGTGCTATATTATAACATCACTGATTCCTTCTTTCCAGACTGTGATTCATTCACATTCATGCTCAGAAAGCCCTTTTGCCAAATCTTAGACAAAATGACCAAGGCAAGACTGAGGCATCCATACCTAGGATCTTTGGAGCATTCTTTTAAAAGAAAATTTAGTTCTAAACCTACTGAATTTAAATTCCACCATCCCAGAGTGAACCAAGTGGTCTGTGACAAGCAAATGTTTACTTGTCCATTGCTTTCCCTTTCCTTCTGCTCATTTGGATGCTACTATAACAGAAAGCAAGACATAGCGAAAGCAGAGCACTATTAGCAGAAGTTCCCACTCCCCTTTCTTATGGGAAAGGCATAAAATAAACATCTATTACTGATACTATCTGTATTTCTTTCTTTGGCCAGTAAAAATTTAAATGCAAATCCTGGCATCTCCCATGAATATCAGTAAGTCTAAACTGGGAGAATTGGTTAATGTAAGAGGGTTTTGGGTACTTATTAAAAACCCTAGGGCACTTACTGGATAGGCTCAGGCCAAGATATACAGTCGCAGGAGCTCTTCTGGCTTTGCTTTGATTAAGATAGTATCTAAGTAAATAAATATTCTCATCACCTTAGGGGATGAATAAGTGGTCTTATAGCCATAGTAAAGACTCAGGACTATGCACTGGCCAAACATCATATCTACAGATTTGGTGCCCCTTTCCAGGACAGCCTGATGGATTTCCTACAGCTTGAATGAAAATGTTGAGGAAGTATTTTATATTTCCTATAGTTTTTGAAATATAGTCATAAAAAACTTTGATCTTTAAATGAAAATGGATAGCATCCCAAACTCACTCAGGGACCACAAATACAGAATCTCAGGAGAATTTCTTCAGTGGATATATCCTTCCCAGGTCAAGGCTTCTGTTCTCTGATATGGTCAATTAATTCACTTATCTTAAATGCTGACTGGCATACAAGATACACTAGGCACACTAGACAGAAATAAATACATAAAATTTTAGCTCCCTTAATTTTACCAGACAGATTTAATAAATGCACATAACTAATGGGTATATAATGACTTCCCTAAACTCCTACTTGTAGATCATGCATTCTATTTCCCAGTACATCTTTTTCCCCATGAAAAATTAAATTGGAAAGTCAACAAGAAAGAAATCATATTGGGGACATTTTCAATCCATTCATTTACATTTTCACTCTGCAGAATGTGGATAGTGTATTTTTATGGCATGTTTGGTTGCTATTCAAAACATCTTTTTTTTTATTGAATAGCAAAATTATTAGATGAGTAGAATCCTGTATGCATAATAACAGCACAATTTAAAGCTGTCCCTAGGCTAATTTATGAAGCACTAAATCAATTGGAAAAGTTTTCCCTTTTTCTTAAAGAGGCACAAGGTTGCTTTTTCAGCTGGTTTTGTCTGTTTTCATGGTCTGCACATTGATCTTAGCGTGGTACAGTTAGCCAAAACATACGGGAAAAGAAATATCTGAGGGATGAAACTAATGATACATGCACTCTTTGTTGGTTTGTTTCACTTCCCCTTCTAAATGAATTCCCTGTTAACTAGAGCACAAGTCATTACTGAATAAGGTTCATAGGCACTGACCAATGTGTAAGAATAATTAACGCACAGGAGTTTTGCAAATAGATGTTTGTGACTGCACGAAGACAACGCTTGTAAGTCAACCCAGCAAAGTGGACTAATATGTACACCAGTCTCAGACAAGTAAGAAGCTCTTTGTGGGAAAGAGGTGGAAAAGACAGCAGAAATTTCAACTCTTTGGGGGCTATTCTGACAGTGTAGTTATCGACTGAGAAAGCAGGAGGACATTTACTGCTATTATTAAGTTGTTTTCACATTTGCTTTAAAAATGTAATCTGTTGCATTATTCTGTACTCTCATCCTGGGACTTTTAATTAGACACATTTTGGAAATTCAAAGTTTAAACCCATGCTTTTGTTAAATTGGTAAGCTACACCCTAAACTGGTAAAATGGACTTAATTTTATCCAGCAGAATTGCACTATGGATTCATAGTTAGTCTTTGATTTTATGGTCATGTTTAATGCCACTCCTTAGCTAAAGAAGACCTAAGGATTTGCATATATGCATTTTTGTCCTTCAGAAGGACAAATTATATTTCCTGTTCATGTAACTGGCATGAGTGCTGCATCCCCCTACATGACATAGTTAAAAGTGTATAATTAGCAAAACACAGTCCTTACTTGTCTGCCATCATCTGAGGCTGGAAGGGAGAATATTCTATTCTTGTATTAGTGTTGACAATAACCAGAATAGCTTGAACTTCCTCAGATATCCTGTCCCAAGGAGCCGCCTTTCTAATGCAGGATTTTTCACATCTGTTATCTATAGGGGAGAATGCAAAATGCCTCTCAAAAAATATCATTTGGACTTTTAACACACTTTGCAGCATTTTATGTCCATGAAACTGAGATAAACATACAATATTTCCATTTGGCATAGACAACATTACTCCACTATTATTTTTTATTTGAAAGAAAGCTGTATTTATTTTGTTGGCTAGCTCACCATGATACTCTCATCTCCTCTCCACATGATACTCTCCTCTTAACAGCTACGTCATATCTATACCAAAAGCTGTTGAACCAGCTGTTTAGTACTCACATAGAGCAATGTTTCAATTGCTCTGAAAAATCTCTTCCAAGATGTCTTGCCCTAAACTCTCTGTAATCAGAACAGCCATTGAAAGCTATGATATAAATGTGCTTAATAGTGCAATATGCACTCAAGTATCTCAGCAGAATGGATCTGTATGTGTACATTTGAGGTTTTTAAGGTACATGTTTAAACCCTCAGACAGCATACTTGGACTAAGTGAATAGTCAGGGTCATTGGAAGACTTCACTAAAAAGTTATGCCTGGTTTCATCACAGGAGAAGGCAAATAGGACAGACAGAACTTATCATAGGATTTAATGACTTTAGCATGCCATTCAAGTGACACTGAGGAGGCGTGACATCTATTCCACAGGCTGGAGTTGCAATGGGCAGTGAGAGAAATGTTACTTCAATTCAAAAGACATAGAGTTTACTTTAAAAGTGGAAAATAACCGGGCTCTGTGAAGGTAAGAGAGGACCGACATACATGCATTCTCATGCAAACTCAGGAGACTCACCAAAACACTCTTTGAGGACAAAAGCATTGCATCTGCCTCATGCTGGCCTCATTTGCATGACTGGAATTCACCCCAAATACACCACACAAAACACTGCAGAAACTCTGTGCCTGCAAGAGAAAAAATGGACTGTTGCTAATGTTTTATTAAAGTCTCGTAGTTCTGAACTAGTGTGGTGCCATTTTATGAGTGTTGGCAATATCCTGATGAATACCTGTGACAAGTGCCATTAACATAAAATACAAAGTGGAATTGGGCATGATGAGATATTTAAAATTTAGACATGCACTTACCACATTTAAAAATGTACTTCAGAGATATATTTTTAAACCATATATTTTTTAAAAGCAAGTCAATTCCATGCCTTATATTTTGAGTTTTAATTCCAATCAAGCTAATTTCTAGTCATCACAAACACATACCTGCCAGTAATGAAGGTTGTTTAATTAGGTCCAGATAAAATAGCTCCAATTCTGTTTCTGATCCACCTGTCAAAGCAAATCAGTCTTTTACATGACTTTAAAAAAAAACAAATTAGACTAGCTGATGATTTTTTGAATATTCAAGTAGACATACTGAAGATAAATCCAAACAGAACTTGTGACTGAACAAAAGCCTGGAATGTGACCCCAAAGATGAAGAGATCCTGTTCTGCCAGAAGCAGATTTCCAAGCTTGGTATTTGAGGATTATGAAGTCAAGGACAAGATGCTAAAAAGTGGCTACTGGAAAGGATAGCAGTGTCTTCCACAGCTTAGGGCAAGGTAACATTTCAATATTATGTAAAATTAAACACAAATAACAGTGTTAAAGGTCCTACTTAAAGCCCCAAAGCCAGGTGATTTTAGAACAGATGTGGCCAACTCATGCTGATATTGCTCTATGGAAAAAAATACTTTGCTGTTTGTGCTACTATTACAGAAACAAGTAGAAAATCTGGAAGGGCTGATAGGTTTGAATGCTAAAAAATACTTTCTTTTTCATTGGCTTCTAAGATGGACTAGTAGTCTGAACACATTTACTGGTAGGCAGATAGGGACATAAACTGACAATCACAAATGGCATTATTTGACATATGCAATGTTAATTAAAAAAACTCAGTACAGCTCTGAAAGATCACTAATAATTGCTTAATACCATAGGAGCTCAACCAACAACTTCCAAAAGTGTAGGATTAGGCACAAATGCTAGGCAGTAGACTAGAGAGAAAAAACTGATTAAAAAGCACCACTCAGACACACACTGTAATAATCTAGAACACAAAAAATGTAACTCAGATTTTAATATGGAGATTATCTACTGGGCTCTGGCAAGCAAATTAGTCCACATGTCCTTGCTGTTTCTGTACTTACTGTGTACTCAGATCTATTAAAGAAGAATGCACAAAAAAATATCAGGGTTTCATGTGGGGTTTTTTCTTGCTCGAGCCCACCATTTTTTCTGCTGGGATGATAATTCTCTCATTTTTTGATTCCCTATCAAAGTGGTTCTACTCATGTTAGTTATTAGAGTACTAACTTTTCTCCAGTCGTTTATACAGATTGTACTGGCAACTTTTGTGCCTTCTAGAAGATGAACTTGTTCATTTTGATTGATTTACAGTGCATGATGGCTTGCTCTTCTGACTGGCATTCTATGCACCATCTTCATTTTGTCTTTGTTTAGATTGGACTTTTTTATTTGGCTTTCCAAGCTCAGTGACAGTGGTGTGATTTTATCAGATGTCCACATTAACTTCTTACCTTATGCAGATAACTCCTGTAAAGCACAGTTATAGTAGCAGTGGGGCACAGTTGTTACAGCTGTACCAGATCCCATAATGTCTGAGGTATTTAATTCTTTTCTCTATGAATAAAATCCTGCCCCAGTAAAGTCAATCAGATTTCTTCCATTTCCCCCTATCACATTCATATGAGAGAAAGTTATGAGTATCAAAGTCTCAAAATCCATTCATGTTTCATTCATTAGAGTCTTTCCACTTCATTGTAAGGAAATCTGTCTTGTTAGATGACAAGGTCTGACGTGCATCTCACAACCGTATGTTGTGAAAATAGCAAGGCATGGACTTGCTATGCCTACATGTGGCAAACAGTTTCACCAGACCTACTTGAAATAAGGATATGATTTGTTTCCACCCCCAGATTATTTTGCTCAAGGTACAACAGGAATGAATTAAGATCATGAGTCAGAGAGTGAGACTTTTTTTTAATGTCATTAGGTGTCAGCCTGGGAGGACCTATGGACTGACTTGTTTGACAAATTAAGGAGCAGACTTTCCCAAGCTGTTCATACCCACTTGCTCCGCCTAGAGCACATGCTGTTCTTTCTAGTACTGGATGTCCACGATTATCTGTTATTTCTACAGTTCCAAAACCAGAGACTGATATGGCCCTATCTATATCTGTGAGAGGCAGGGGCAGCTTTAGGCCAGCTGGTTGTTGAAAAGGGTTGTTTTAATCTGGGCATTTGTACACAATTCACTCATGATATTGCATATACCTATATGCTGGATATTAATTAGCCACCAATTCCAAAAGTCTTCCAGATTCTTGTCTTTCATATATCATTGCCACCTTTACCATGCTTAAAATGGATTATATTCAGCTCTTCCATTTATGTACTTTTTTGCCTCTAGATCAGAAGTAGATAATAGTTATTTCAAATACAGATGCTGCATTGTTTCAGAATATACCATACTGCTGTTTGAGCCTGCAGAAACTCATGACAACTTTATGCAGCACAATTAATATTTAACAATGATTGGGACAAAATGCCTTGTCAGGTTCCTCCTTCTCAAGTGAGTACACACTGAAGTGAATAGAAGTTGTCCATTGTGAGCCTCCAGAAAGGAACATGGATGATTCCCTTGACCCCTGCTCTTTATATTCCACATATGGCAACATATGGCGAAACTGCTAAACACTACAAAATATATAAACCTGGAATTTTTCTTCCTTTTTGTTTGAAACAAATGAATCATCTGTATGACCATCACTGCTTCTTTGCAAGACCTGAAATCTGGGTTAGAGGTGTTAAGGATACTGGCAAAAGTCGGCCAGTGGTAGATTATTGATGCTCACACCTTGCCCCACAACAGGTGCACTCAAATATGAGCTGAATCACCTAGAAAGGTTCTGACCATAAGGAGCAATGAAGACCTCATGGGCTAGCACTAATACAACTGACATTTAAACTGTCTAAACTGGTAGATACAAGTAGCATGTTTGTTTATTTGAGCTCTATTTACTACAAAACCTTCTAGCCTTCCAAGAGTATTCAGGATTTTGCTAATCTCTCCTTTCTCCAAAATCAGCAAGCAGCTCATAGCAGAACCTGCTTCTGTGCAGGTCGCAGACAGTCTACAGTGAGCCTGCCTTCATTGGGTGTTTTGCATCATTTGTTGGTGTTAGGATGATATAGTTGCTTTCCCCAGGAGCACCAGGTTCTCCACCTCTTTGTGATGTTGTGTCCTCCAACTAATTTTTATTTAATCTCTCACCTAGTCTTAGTATGTTGTGCACAACAGTTCACCAATTATATACCCTCCAAAACAAAACTGACTCAGCTTGTCAGTGCATACCTGTATTGTAAAAGGGGAAAAAACCCCAGAACTGTCTTACATCACAATCCTACCTCTCCAGCATGCTCAAAATCATGCCCTTAAAACATGCTTTTAACAAGCCAGTAAGTATTGTACATTTTTCCCCAACTACTGAAAGCAGGGAGGTGAGGCACTTCTCTGTGTAAAATGGCACACACATTTTGTACATCTCATGTTCTAATGCTATTAGCTCAAAAGATTGAATTAAATAGAGAAAGGTTAATGAAAGGTTTCAGTCATGTTTGCAGTGACCATGATGAAGCAAAGGGGCAAGAGAAATGGCAGCTTTAACAATTAAACTCCCTCAACACATTCCTTTAACACTACTGCCATAACACACTGAAATGCCACAGTTAATCAGGTCACGCTTACTGCTAACACTCTACTAAGAAGTTGTTGTGACTCCCCTGTTGGGATGTTCTACAAGATGATCATGTTCTTCATTAACACTAAATAAAGGCAGTGTATTTTATATGCCACACAAATTAGTATCCTTAATTGTTTATAAATATAGGATCTATTTATATTTTTTTTAAATTCAAATATTTTAAAATAGCATTATAAATACATAAAATACAATCAAATTCCTATTCCCCTGTAAAACTCAGTTCTACTGTGGAATAGGAGGCTACAAGCAACTAGCAGCTGTGTTGTACCATACAGAAGTTTCCAATATGTGCTGGAAGTACTCCGCTTACCTCACTAAATGCCAAAAGCAAGTCTGGCACTACATCAGTCAGTCACATCTTCTTGCTTCAAGTATTTATTTCTCTGACTCTATTAAGTTGTAAGCAAACATCTGAGTAGTTGAACCTCCTGCGGGGTTTCATCACATTTTAGGATTGGCCCTTTCTGCATATCAATAAAAATAAATTGCAAAATATTTATAGTGCTAGCACATGTCAGAAGAATAAATTATCCTATAAACAGCCCACTTTTTGCTGTAGGATGCTCTGATGGCCTCAGTAAGGATAAAAGGAAACAAAGAAGTCCAGGCTTGCAGAGGGAGAAAGACAATATTGGCCAGCAATAACAGCATTAGCTCTGGATGTACAGGACCCTAGTTGGAGTCATGGTTTCCTCTGTGCCTTGGGCAAGGCAGTGAGATAATCTCTAAACAATAGGGTTAAGAGCATTTACAGCTACAACTTCAGGGTATTTCAGGGTTAAACAATTAAAAGTTTTGACACTTTTAGATATTTTAGTAACACAAACACTCCAAAGCAGAGAACTTCTTCAGGTTAAACTGAAGCTAGCAAAAAGACATGAAATAAAAAACATCTTCCATAATTTGATTCACCATCTTAACAATTTCTTTTAGCGATATAATTTTCATGTCATATCCATATTCTGAAAACTAAGATAAAAGCATGGTGTGTCAAGAATAAGAAAACGTGTTCCCATTAGCAGTACATGGGTAAGTCATGCTTTGGGTGGAGACCAGTAAACTACAGTAAGGCTCTGGTAGGTGCAAAGCTTAAGATGTTATTACTACCACCCATGTGAGGTTACTTCTTCACAGCAGAGATGTTGTGTAATGTGCTCCTGCATATAATGCAGGCCCACACTCCTTATAAGTCTAAAAATACTGCAGGGTATGGACTATGGCAGCTGGGAGGGCATATTTCCCAACACTGGAGCAGGGGCCTTCAAAAGACGGGCAGAGTGGGTATTATGGGAAATGTAATATCTTAAGCCAGTGCAACTTAAATCTACCCGAACACACCCTACATGAATAAAAATGGGAATAGGAAAAATGGAATAGGAGTAGGAATAATTCACATTGCCTACAGGAATAATGTCTGATTTTTTGCTAGTCTGTCCTTCAGACAGTGGGGTTTTTTTTTGGCTTTTACCATTTTACAGATATTAATTTGAGGAAATAGAT